CTTTGTTTGTTTTTTTTCCAGTGTATACGGAAGGTACTAATTTTTGATTTAGGGTTTTGAGGAAAGATTTTGTTTTTGATTATGTATGTACATGTTTCTCTCTGTGCATGTCTGTGCACATGTGAGTGACGATGCCCTCGGAGCCCGGGAGAGGGTGTGAGATTCTTTGGTTATGAGGCCCTAGGTGATGGTGACCTGGCCTCAGTCGGTGCTAAGAAACCGAAATGTGGGTTCTCTGCAAGAGCAGGGTATGTTCGTAACTTCTGAGTCATCACTCAGACCCCACTTTTTATTTCTTTGAAGTATCTATATTTATGAGGTCTTTAGTGTAGGCCAGGTTGGGCTCCTGAGAATTTAATGAAGGGAATTTGAGTTTAATGGGAAGATTAACTTTACAGATTATCAGTACACTATGAGTATCACATTCACTATGGGTGTTAAGTTGTTGTCATCAGAACTTTATACCTTTGTGTTTTTAAAATATATGGATGTAACAAATACTGAATTATATTTGACACAGTACATTTTTAAATGAAGTTCTTCCCAGTAGTGGCCAGGCCACAGTCAATACATTTATAGTCATGAAATATTTTGCTATAGTGAGTGTCTTTTTACAAATGATTTATTTTTATTTTATGTGCATTGGTGTTTTGCCTGTATTTATATCTGTGTGAGGATGTCAGATCCCCTGGAGTTGGAGCTACAGGCAGTTGGAAGTTGTCACGTGGGTGATGGGAATTGAACCTGGGGTCCTCTGGAAGAAAAGACAGTGCTCTTAACTGCTGAGCCAGCTCTTCAGGCCATGTAGTGAGTGGTTTAATTTTCATATTTGAAAGTAGGCAATCTATCATTTAAGTATCTAACTTGTCTCATGGGAAATTTGTTTAATAATTATAGCTGAAGGGTCAAACAAATTCAACTTGGTTACACAACATGTTTCTGTGCCGATGACAAAACATTTGAAGTTCTAGAGAGATTTAAACTCTGTGACCTTTATTTTACCATATGCTCATTTATAGTGTATGTAAGGATGGATAAAAGATACAGAGCCCAAATCTACAAATAGTATTTTGTGGTTGAACTCATTTCTATACCACAGCTATTTGGGGTTCAATATGCAAAGCAGCTCGAACAGACTATCTTCAGCTTTAACTGAAACAGCATGCTAGAAGTTAAGTCCAGGATGGAAAAAAATCCCATCTCAGTGAGAGGAAAACGTGTGGGGGCGGGTAAAACAAAGCAAAGTGGTCTTTGTAGTTAACCACTTTTGCAAGCTGGAAGCTGCATGGCCAACGTCATGAGGAAACCAAGCCTGGGCCATGTGTCTCCAATCCACAGCAGGCGAATGTTCCAGGAGGACCGGCTGTCTGGCAGAGACTCGTAGAGCGGCATGTGAGGCCCAGGTGCTTCCACTTACAGCCACCCGGGATCCAGCACGCTTCTGTGCTCACGTGATGGGCCGTGCCCTTGACCACTTTCATCAAAGTAAACAGAAGTAGGACCTGACAGAGTTATGTTTGGAAGGAGCCTCAATTAAACGAGGCATTGTGTATGAAGTGCCTGGCAAACAGACCGGACCCAATAAATGTTAGCTTTTTCAAAATTCGGCGCTTGCACTGGAGGAAGCCCAGAAACAGTAATGAAAGCAGCGGTTGTTCCCAACCTGGGAGGCCTGATTGCAGCCATCTTATTCCAGCTAACAAGAAGAGAGTCGTGTTGTGCTGTGGTTCGCGGGATGAAAATACGGCTGGACTTAACTGTAATTTTATCTTGCTACCTTTGTACCATTCTGCATTGACTTTAAAATCAGCCCATCTTGGGTGGACTTCCTGTTGTTTTTAGCAGACCTATAAACAAAGTACCTATTTTCCTATACTGCTTTTCATAGGTTCATGGGAAAGGAGAGGACGTAGCACGAAACAAGTGACCCAAATGAGTGACTGTCCTGTGTGATGAGCATTTCAGGGAAATTTCCACAGTAACAAACACACAGGAATTCTTATAAACTATAAGAGGCCTGCTGCCCTGTGGAAAGCTGAATTTTCTTCATATACACACAGTCTCTCTCTCTCTGTCATATACATATACACACATGCATACATACATGCATACATACATATATGCACTACTTATATATCACTTGTCTAGCACATGTAGTGCTCTGGATTAATTCTGAAGCACAAGGCACATGTAGAAGGAGCTACTTGTTCATCCTGGCTGCTTAGTCCGGAAATAACCACACAGAAACTGTATTAATTAAATCACTGCTTGGCCCATTAGCTCTAACTTCTTATTGGCTAATCTCTTACATATTAATTTAACCCATTTCTATTAATCTGTGTATCACCACATGACAATGGCTTACTGGCTAAACTTCCAAGCATCTGTTTCCGGCAGCTCCATGGCTTCTCTCTCTGACTCCACCCTTCTTTCTCCCAGCATTCAGCTCTGTCTTCCCCGCCTACCTAAGATCTGCCCTATCAATAGGCCAAGGAAATTTCTTTATTCATGAACCAATAAAAGCAACGCATAGATAGAAGGGCATCCCACATCCGGTAACACACACACACACACACACACACACACACACGCACAAACAAAATCACCAAAGAACAACAAGAGGATAACACAAAATTGTGTTCCACAACTCTACAATGGGAATATTTAAATTGCATTTTAATTATAGAATGGGCAGTAATAGAATGGGATGGAGAAAAAAGGATGGAAGAGAGAGAGAGAGAGAGAGAGAGAATAGATAATCAAGAAAAAAAATACCAAGATGGATGGTTGTGGTCCAAGCCTTTAATCCCAGTGCTCTGGAGCAGATGCAGTGGCTCTCTGTGAGTTCAAGGTCATCCTGGTCGATAGAACAAGTTCCAGGATATTCAGGCAACACAGAGAAACCCTTCCTCAACCTCCCACACTTGCCTCCCCCCCCCCAAAAAAAAGCAAGAAAAAGAAAAAAAAACCGAACAAACCAACACAGAACAGTCTTTTGGAACTTTTTAAAAAATTACTTTAAAAATACTCACCAGTCATACTTTGACCTTGCTAACTTTAGAAACTACACTTTTTTTTCATTTTAAAGGATATTTTAAAATTTTTTGAGATTGTATTTTAATTATAACATACATCTGTCCCTACTTTCCTTCAAATTCATGGCCTCATTTTTTCTTTTTTTTATCTTTTTCTCATACAGTACATCCCAACTGCAACTTCCCCTCCCTCCACTCCTCCCAGTCCCCTTTCCCAACCTCCCCTCTCCCCCAGACTTATTGCTCCCCCATTTCCCTTGAGAAAAGAGAAGGCCTCCCACTGAGATCCACCAAACACAGCAAAATAAGATGCAGTAAGACTAGGCACATTTTCGCCAACTGTTACTGCATTCATACACGTGTTTGTGTGCATACATACACTCCCAAATATAACCTGCTGCCTCCACAATACTGCTCCGTGTATGAATGTTTTCAGGGCTGACCATTTTGCATAGGACGACCAATTGAAAATACATTTCTCATTCCTGGTCTTTCAGAAGAGCTACTCTTAATATCTTCCCTTTGAAATTTTTACTGTGTCTACCATTATCTAATTAAATTTTCTCTAATGATGAGAAGTTTTTGTCTGGGTGCCACATGACAATTCAGTACTTAAAGTGTGGCTAGTTAATCAGCAATGGGGTTCTTAAATTTATTTCGTATCATCTAAGACCACTATTCTGGGCCCTGGAGGTTGGAGGGGCATTTACTGTGGTAAGGAAAATGGAGCAAGGTGCTGTGTAGGTGAGCAAGTGTAGACAAAAGTGAATTAATTATAGCCTTTCCACAGGCTTTCACCGCTCTCAAAGGGTTGCCCTTTTTTAGATATACTAAGCGCTTAGTAAAGAATATCACTTGCCAAAAGTGTAGTTATGCACCCTTTAACAATATTTTGGCCAATGACAGACCAGTCCAGTGTTTATAACCTTCAACAGTCCTTGAATGTCACAAGGAACTGAAACCTCCCATCACCCAGTGATGTTAAAGTCATGGGAACATTTTGTGGCACACACAACTCAAGTGTACACGCTGATGCTGGCAGAAGCCTCTGTTCCTAGCCCTACAGTATATATGCAGTCTCATACAGTACACAATCCTAGTTACCCAATAGCGACGGTTGCTGGCTTCTGTATTAACTAGAACTTTTCATGACTCAGGGAAGTGTTCTTCCGTGCTATCATTTCCATACTAGGTAGCTATCAGCCAGCAGCTTGAATAGTTTTGGCACTAATTCTTGTCTCCTGGTCATCTTTTTCTTTTCAGTGCCATTTTCTTTATATTCATGCAAACTATTCTTCAATGGTAATCTGTCCTTCCTGCTAGAAAACCAGGTTTTCTATAGTTCCTAGAAGATCAGCACTTTGGACCTGAGATAATCCTGAAAAGGAGGAGAAAGCAGGCACTTAGCATACTAAAGGCCTGGGCTAGTCACCAAGCGTCACCTCTTTGGGCTTGCTTGTCGCTTAGTAGGTCATCATATTCACATTACAAAAGAATGCAGATTGAATAAAAGGAAGTAAAGCAGGGTGTAAAAACCAGAGGCCTTCCATAACTTGTGTGTGGAGTAGCACGTCTCTATATACTTCATCTTGATTACTTTTGGACCAGAATGAAATTCTATGTACGCTTTTCCCGGCAATGGTTGAGAACGCGCTCCCCTGCCTATGATGCCAACTATAATCATCTTTCCCTTCCTTTCGAGAGCAATGACTGACCCTGCTGTACACAGGACCCCCCCCTCCCGCCCCCACTTCCTTCACCGCCCGCTTCCTCATCAGCCTCGGCCGCCTGCTGTCCCCGTGAGCTCCACAGCCCCATTCCAGCCCGTCACACGACGGTCACGTCAATCCGCCCTCTCCGCCGACCCCCACCACCCGCGCCAGCTTCCGCCTCGCGCGCGTCTCGGCGGCTAGTGATGCAATGCTCGGCTTCCGCGTCGGCGGCGGCGTGGGCAGTGACGTCACCGCGCCCTGACGTCAGACCGACGTGCAGCGCGGTCGCCCGGGAGACCGGGGAAGCCGTTTCACACCCTGAGGAGTCCCAGGCTAGGTGAGGGTCACGCCTTCCTCAGCTTGTGGCGAACAAGGCCTGCTAGGACGCAGTTCCGGTGCAGAGGCTAGCTGCGGGACCGCGGGGGCGGCGGGGGACGGTGGGGGCGGCGGGGGCGGCGGGGTGGTGAAGGTGGGGGTGGCGGGCCTCTGGGCCAGGCCTGGGGCAAGTGCGGTCTGGCCAGGCGGTTAATTTCCAGTCTCGGGACGTGACCTCCCGCTCTCCTGCCCCTGACCTGCCCTCCTGTGATTCACGTCCCCGGAGTGGTACTTGAGGAAGGGCCTGGAAGCAGAACCCTGGAGTTTAATGACCGGGCATGACATTGGTGTAAGAATCGGAAATGAACCACCAGGGACGTTCCTACTTTTAAAAACACACGTCTTTCTCGTGACCTGCGTGTCGCAGGGAAGATTGGCAAACACCCACGTAGGTGCAGCCACGTACCACTGTACTTTTGCCAAGGGCAGTTTACACATGTGAAATGGGAAAGACCAAAGGAACTTGTTTGGTAAAACAGGCAAAATAACAGATGGGCAAATTAAAAACTCCAAGTTTTCTCTTGCCCAAAAAGCAACCCCCACCCCACAAAAAACAAAAACAAAAACAAAACCCTGAATTATCTTTGAATTCTTCCTCTGTTCTTTTTTGGGTATTCAAATACTTATAAAGACCCGATGGGCTTTTCTTAAAGGTTTAGAAGCCATTTCCTTAAGATATAGGCATAACAAAAATGAACATTAAAGAAAATAGTGTCTCTGTCATCATCTTGGGAATTTCCGTGTCTACCTCCTAGTTGCAACCGGCTGCATGTGCTGCTTAGCAGAACAGCAACTAGCAACTCCAGTTTACAAGGATTTTACAATAACATACTATATAGCAAACAGTGTTAAAGACCTCTTTGTATGAGAACAAATTACCAATGCTCTTTGGACGAATGCAATGAATGTATATTGGCTGTATGAAAAGAATGGGATCCCTAAACTATTTTAGGGATATTTTCTGCGATGTGTTTCAGAGTCAAGTTAAATACTCATTCAGCTTTCCCCACCACCACTAATGTTTTGGAGTGCCCCCTAGTTTACCAGGGTGCTATTATTAATTTTTTTTCAGAGGCTGTAGCCTACCACTTCTGGTGGTATAGTAATAGGTTGGTATAGAGTCACAGTGAAGGCACTATTTAAAATATATTCCTTTGGTACTTGAATTTATACTGTTGTTTAGTTCCATGCTCACTAATACTTTTGTAAATGGTACTTTTAAAGGAGATTTAGTGGGTAATTTGGGGGGGAAATATTCCTAGTAAACCTGAAGATATGATCATTTCCATTAACTAAAGATGACTGAGGATAATGAGCCTTCTGGTTTCTTGCCATGTGACTGTGACAGAATGGCAAACATCAGATTATGTACTTGGTCACTTGGACCCATGTTGACATAATTTACTCCCGTGGTTGACCTCAGCTAACATGACCAAACATACACATTGTCTTGTGTTTGTGTTGTCTGTGGGAAGACAGCTCATTAGTTGTTGGTCTTAAACAGCAGCTTATCGAAATGAGGGTTATTTGGGCCAATACAGAGTTGAGGAATCTCTCTTCCACCAATGGTTGAGTAATTTGCAATAAAATCACCAGTATTATTTTTTTGTTTGTTTTGTTTTTTTTTTTTTTTTGAGACAGGGTTTCTCTGTAGCTTTGGAGCCTGTCCTGGAACTAGCTCTTGTAGACCAGGCTGGCCTCGAACTCACAGAGATCCGCCTACCTCTGCCTCCCAAGTGCTGGGATTAAAGGGAGCACCACCACCGCCCAGCTAATACCAGTATTATTTTTGACTTCACTCTCCTGCCCTGACCTAAGGCAAAGAACCTTAGGGAGCCTTTTCTAACTTCCCATTCCCACCTAAAGGATAGCTCAGCATCCTTTCTTGATTCTGACATTACCCCTGCTTATCAGTCATGGGCTTTTGACCTTCATCCTGCCATGGAGTCTCTCTGTCCCTTGGGTCTGCTGCACCACTCCGCACCACCATCCTGGCCTTGGCCTCTTTCTGCTCTTATGTTTATGTATGTGTGGACCAGGTGTCTTCACCCTCCACCTTATGGGAGTCTCCCACCTGAATTCTGAACTGGTCCGTTCAGTGAGTCTAGCTACCCAGCTTTCTCTGCCTCCCACGGCTGGGATTTCAGGTAGACTTCCAGCCCTGCATTTGTGGGTACTGGGATCACCCTAGTGTGGCAAGGACTGTACTCATTTTGCCATCTCCCTGGCCCCTTTACTCTTTCCACGGATAGATTTATCTTCCACTCATAAAACTGGATGGGGTATTCTTTGTCCTGTTTGGGAAAAATCTGAAAGAAGAAAATGCCTCTGTTGCCTGTGTTTTCATGAAAGTAATAAAAAGAGTTTTATAATGAATTAGAAGATGAAAATCTGTTAAAATCTAGATAAATTTGCATATCTGTCCATCTCAGCTACATGTGGTCTTTGATGCTTTGATGGCTTTTCTGCTCAGTGGCTATATATTGTAGCTTAGTAACTATATTTTTTGTGTTTTATAACTTAAAGAAGACTTGATGGCACATTTCTTTCTATAGCTTTCAGATAAAATGTTATTTTAGAATACTGAAATAGGTCTGTTTAAAATCTTACAGTTAATCTGTTGCAAAACAAATAATTAATAAACCACTATTATTTTTGTTATAACTTCATAACTTTCTGAAAAATAGAAAAGATGAGTTAGTAATTTCTGTAGTGTCCTGTGTGGCTTAAGGACTAACCATGAAAACTTAACTCATACCTTCTGCCATGGAGCCAATGAAACAAACATCTGTTAAACTACTTATTGCCAGCTCATCTCCAGATATTAAGAATCTTTAAATCACTGGAGTTTTCCTGTCATTGTTGGATTCTGACCGTTGCCATCCATGTTTGTAGCGTGTTTTGCTGCCGTACGTCGGGGAATCATGGATCGTCACATTCCCATGCACGCGTTACCAGAAGAAATCCAAAAGGTATGACTTTGCATTATAAGCATCTAATATTAGGAGTATTTTAGCTGTTAGATCATTCTAAAGTATAGGGGAGTGAATTTGGAAAACGACAGAATTGATGATTAATTCGTGATGGGAGAAGGAATAACCACACTGTAGACGTTCCCTGCAAAGACTATGTAGGAAGACAAATATGCAATTCCACTGTGGTATTTTAACTGCTAGTTTTAGAGTCCTAGTGAAGTCAAATCCCAGAAATGCTCATGTTTGTAACTTTTGTGATATTTTTACATAATGCATTTTCACCTAAATTAATTCTCACGGTTCACTGTATACCAGCTGCTGCTTTGTTTTGTCTTAGACAAAATTTAATTGTGTAGCCTTGGCTGGTTTGGAATTCACTACATAGACCACGCAGGCCTGGAATTCACAGAGATCTGCCTTCCTTTGCCTCCTAAGTGCTGGGGTTAAAGGTGAGCACCACCACACTGGTGTTTAGATACTATTTTGATCAGTTACCGATTGGTTTTGTCCTTTGCAGATGGAAATTGTGGGTAGGCAAGGGAAAACTTTTTCAGGATTTATCCCTTGGCAGTTGGTAACAGGACAGCTGGAACAAAAGCAGGTAGCTCTGGGCGGTAGCCTCCTCTCAGGAGGCCTTGAGTGGCAGCAGCCGTGGCTTCGGAAGTGTGAGAGTTCCTGTACAAGGGTGGAGTAGCAAGACCCTTTACAGGTATTTCCCTCTTGTGTGGGCTTAGGAAGCTGGGATTCCAAAGACCTAAGGTCTGGGAACTATTGAAGACACCTGGCCCTAAAGACAATTCTGAACCTCTTCTATTAACCAGGGCCTGCAATTCTCTGATTCTTCAGCTCCAGCTTCTTGTCCTCTCTGTGCTCCCACCGTTCCTCTCGTTCTTGCCCTGGCCTAGATGTTCAGTAGCTTCTTGTTGTTATGGCCGCTGTCTTAGTTGCCAGGGTCCACGTGGGAGGCAGTTGCCGCCCATCTCTTGGCTGCTGTTGTGGTCACATGCACAGCTCAGTGGCTCCACCTCTTTTGCAGCTGCCACTTTGCTGCTTTTCCAGCTTGGACTGTTGACCCCTAGCTGTGCGTCAGCTCTGCAGAGCGTCAGCTGTTCAGCAGATGGCTGCCCTGCTGCTTCTGGCTGCTCAGCCATGACCACCGCAGCTGATCCATTGACGCTGCTCTTGTTCCCAGCTCAGCCTGTGCTACCAAATGTGGGCGAGGAGACACCACTGGGAAGAAGCCGTTTCTTGTGCCCAGTGCTGCAAAACGAGGGAGGAAACACAGAAGGGTGTCTCCTGTCCAACTCCCCAAGTGAGCACACAGCCAATTTATATAGCCAGAGAAAAGGTGTTTGCTGGAACCACAGCCAGCCTCTCATGCAGACAAGACAATGTCCCCTTTGTGCCTGTCTGTAACTGTCACTTTGCTAGGCCCCCATGGAAAGCACTCCCCCTCTCTGGCCTAGGTAGAAATAGTAGCAGAGTCATCTAGAGCTTTCTTAGGCCCACGCTAGCAGAAACTCTGATACAAATGGTTTGCAACAGTTTTGGCTGTGCCTGCATCTTCAGGAGCCAGAGCAGGCATCTGTGATGATTGTGTCATTTGTTCAGGACCTCTCCGAAGTGTTCGGAATGGCAGATGCTGGCCTTAGCCAACAGCCCTTTTAACTCAAGGTAGCCAGGGCAGCATGGGAAAGCCCAGCAGCTGCATCTAGAGAATCAAATGGCCACACCCCAACATCTCTGCTTATTTATAAGGAAACATGAGTTTTTAAATAACTTACCATTTATGCTGGTAGTGATCCTGATTGTACTTTAATAGTAATACTCAATGCCTGTATAACACCCCAAGGAGAGGTAAATTTCCCCGTTTGTCTCAATTTCACATTTTAAAAAGTGTGTGTATAAAGCATAGCATGTGGAGGTCAGAGGCTGACTTTTGGGAGTTGGGTCTCTTCTATCATCGGGTCCTGATAATCAAACTTGGGTTGTCAAGCTTGGCAATGGGTATCTGTATTTGCTGACCTAGCTTACCAGCTTTGATTTCCTGTTTAAAATTCATGTAGTCTAGTTAACAAGTAATTCTTGGTTTTTATCCAATCCTTATCTTTATTACTTTACATCTGTTCTCAGGCACAGGCATTTCTTCTGTAATTAGTTTTAAATCCATACATTGTTAATATAATAATTAAAAAACACCTCTTCAAAAACTATTGACATGAATTGTGGGTTACAACCTTATGCCTTAGCTGTACCTATTGATACAGACAACTTCTTTTAGCAAATCTAGCAACAACTCTCCCACCCTTATCCTACTCAGAATCGAATGTAGGACCTCAAGCATGTCTGCAATACCCCCAGCTTACAGTCAGCTCTTCATTAACTAGTAATTTGTCACTCTCATTGAAAACCATGCTCAGATGCAGATTGGCTTTTGCCAGTGTTCGTGCTGCTGTGGATGGCCTGTTAACATTAATCACAGCATCCATTGGACCTGCTGCTCTTCTTGCTGCCCACCTTCCCTATTTATGGAAACTTTAAAGGAAGTGCAGTTACCAGAAGAGATCCTTTCAATCACTGCATGTGATTCTCTTTACCTGTGAAGTTAACTGTTAGATGCTAAGCACATATGATGCTCAGTTATGCTGCTGCTTCAGAAATGGTGCTTCTATGGGTTTGAACAAATGCAGTATCTTCTCACTTGAGCTGTGTTCCGTGCATGAAATATCTTGAGTGAGAGATGAAAAGAAACTGTAAAACAAAACAGCCTAAAAGCAAAAGCTCATATTTCAGACCCTAATCTCTTGTCAGAAAGAATGAAGAAACAGTAGAAAGGAATACAGTAGAAAGAAAATCTACAAGACAATGTTAAAATCTAAGTCCCATGTAAGACAGTGCCCAGGAGGCCAGAGAGGTGGTTCATCTGGGATAGGCACCTACTGCCAAGCTTGATGATCTCTGTTGGATCCCTGGGACCCATGATGGAAAGAGAGAGCGGATTCCTGTAGGTTATCCTTGTGAGAGTGGAGAGTTGACGACTGGAATCCCTGGATGCTGGAGATCATCAAGGTGGAGTCTTGTGCAGAAGATGTGGACCTAGAGTTGGTTCCTGAAAGCTGAGTGTTTCTACAGACTTTGAGTGGTGGGATGCTCTTGTCATGTTTGAGGTAGTTAAAGTATGGCAGGTACTATCATGTCAATGTAGAGAAGGGGGGACAGCAGGAGAGACTCAGCTGTCTAAGCCAAGGACAAGTATACTAGTTAGAGCCTTGTCCTGCCCAGTGTTCGGAAGGTAAAATATAGCTTTGTGCTTTTTTCAGGATCTAAGTTAGATATACTTATGTAAATAACACCTTTATACCCATTAATGTCACGTGCTTTTCTGGTGGTTTGACTATAATGTATGTGGACATCCCCCAAAATCTTCAAAAGTAAGCTTTTCTTTTCCAAAACTTTCCCCTTAAGTGTTATCTGCATTGTCCATATTTATTTAGTTACCTAATGATCAGGCAGTATTCTATATTGCCAGTTTGTATGTATCACTCTATACAGAATCATGTTAAATATAAAAATATGCATATTAGGCATCCCTGGTCTGAAATGCAAAATGCTTCAAGAGCTGGAAATTGTCAAATACTTATATTATCTTACAAATGTAAATTTTACATTATGAATTTCTGTTTCATGCATGCACTTACTGAGATGTATCATATTTAGGCGAGGTATTTAACAGAGGTAAGGCATGAGTGGAACTTGTGTGTAGACTTGGGTCTTAGTTCAGAGATCTCATTTTATATGTGCATACAATCCACAGTCTGAGAAGATGCATAATTTGAGCCACTTGAGTTCATAAGCACTTCAGTTAAGGATAATTATCATATATAGTTTGTAGTGATAATAGTAATAATTCAAATCAGAATCAATTCATTCTTATGATGGAGAAAAGGGGACTTTTTCATAATGCCCTAGAAAATGTGCTTCACTTTTCCTTTCTTTTTCTTTAGAGGAGAAAAGACTTGAGGTGGATGAATCAGAGTGCAGTGACAGAGATGTCTTTCAAAGCCCCCTCCCCATTCTTTCTTGTCTCTTAACTTTTTGTATTACTTTATAGGCTGGTTCTTCTTCTTAAAGAAGCCCCTGCTGTGTTTTCTTTATTTTCTTTTTCTGTGTATAGGCAAGGAGGGCTAGGGCAGAAACCAGAGAGGAGAGGCGAAAGAGCCTTTCTTCTCTCTCTGTACTTGTGCTGTGATATGATAATGGACGTTCAGTGCCTTAGGATGAGAACATGGCTGTGCTTGGCTGTGCCATTAATAGCAAAGTGAGCAGTACTGGGGAAGGGACACTTGGAGGGAATGAAAAGGAGGTGAGAGAGATGGCTCTCAGAGGAGAGGATGGAGAAGAATGAGGATGCTGATAAGCCGGATTTGGAGTCTGTTGCCTGCTTTTGTTGGTCTCCTCCCAGGGATTCCTAAGGAAGGAGGAATAAGATAATCCTTGACTCTCATTTCCAGGTTCCTTTTTATCGTAGTTTCTGGCCGCACACAGGGCACTTCTCAGACTTCCATCTCCGTAAGTGACAGAAAGTGTACGAGAGGCCGCATGTGTCTTTTCTCCGCATACCTCCCACACCATCCCTGAATCTCTTCTTCCCCTGGGCTGAGGTAATTCCTACCTGTCTCTGACCTCAGGTAGTCAGTAGTGTTGCTAGAAGCTTCATCCACTGTCCTTTAGTAGACTGCAGTAATTTCTGTTTTCTTTCTTTCTTTCTTTTTTCTTTTTTCTTTTTTTTTCTTTTTTTTTTTTTTTTTTGGTTTTTCAAGACAGGGTTTCTCTGTAGCTTTGGAGCCTGTCCTGGAACTAGCTCTTCTAAACCAGGCTGGCCTCAAACTCACAGAGATCGCCTGCCTCTGCCTCCCGAGTGCTGGGGTTAAAGGTGTGTGCCACCACTGCCCGGCTCATTTCTGCATTATTTTTTACTCTTACAGTTTAAATTGAAA